GCGAACATTGTGATTTTTCTAAGCGAACATTGTGAGAGTAGAAATGGTTTAGATCAGGCAAACATTTCCACAAACTATGGCTGTGGCACAAGGTGATTTGTGCCTTGGGAACTATGACCAATTCTGTTAATGCTGTGATTTATACTGTATCTTGGCTATTGCAACTTAAAATATTTTGATTGGGAATCTGTGTGACATTTAATTTAATTTGGATATTATTTACATAATCTCTATTTTAATATAAATCTTAAATTAACTAATATCCCAATTAAAAAGACCAAATTAGCCCGAGTGTGTCTGCCTTTATAGTTTCCTTTTTATTACCTTCCTTATCTAATTGATTCTGAATTATTTCTTAGCTTATTAAATACTGTACAGAGTAATGTTTTTACTATTCTCTTGTGTTGCTGATGCATGCATATTAAGTGAAAAATCATTGGTTCACTTAAGTAACAAACTATGAAATAAAAATGTAGCAATGTCCCACAAACTCACAATCACAAGATTGGTTTGGATGAAGAAGGCCCTTAGACCCATTTGATCTTAACCTTCCAGAATACTCACACCAATGTCTTCTCATCACAGTGTCAAGCTATGAATTAGGGCTGAATTTAAGAACTTCCACAATCCTGCATAGTACTTTTTTAAAGTACTTGTGTTAGAAAAAGAATATGCTAGGATCACCAATCTTGTATGACATATACTTACACTTGGGTAAGATGTGAAGTAGCCAAGTCACCTATGAATCATCCACTTCTGCTAGTGATGTTTTGGCCAGCCATGGCGTCAACTCCAGTTAGTCACTCCTGGTTAGTCACAAGATTAGTTCGGATGAAGAAAGCCCTTCGGCTTATTTGATTTCAGCCTTTCAGAATGTCCACCTGACCATTCTCCCATCACAGGTTAGAGGGTTAGAGTTCCTGAGTCTGGGGGAGAGATGCTGACTGCCCTACTGTCAATGGCGAAGACTGAAGAGCTTGTCTAATAAAGCTTAAAAAATCTCCAGTTTACAATCCTCCTATATACTTGATCTTTGCAGCAGATTCTCAAATTGCCTCCTGGTGTTGACTGATTTGTGATTGAGACTCTTAGCCCATCGAGGATGAACTAATCGAGAGTCGGTACTTTCAAACTGCAGTCATCAGACGGTTTGGAGACCAAGTCCAGAAAAATAAATAAGATGAAGAATCCAAGCAACAGAGAAAGTAGAACAAAAGAGGAATACGTCTTAAATTTGCAAATATTTGAGGGTGCTGCGTTTTATTTTATATTTTTTAAAAATCAAACCCACCAGATGCAGGAAGAATCCTCACCCAGGATTTTCAGAAGGCGGCAACTCTAATTGATTGTCAGTTTTAGGTGAGAGAAACATTCAGGCAGATGGAACAAAGAGGTGGTGAAAGAGGTCTGGGCGTGACAGATGGAACATGAGCTGACAGAAGCTTGATTATGGGACCTGAGCCACGGGTCAATGGGGGAATGCAGATGAAGATCCTTCAGTCTGGTCTAACTAGGATCAGCCGTTCTAGTTTCTAGATCCCTAATTGAAAGAAAATGTGTCTGTGTTTATATCATCCTATATGTGTGGGAAGAACTAGTTCAAATCCTTCAATGCTAGTTAAACTCCTAATTTGTTTTGATATTGTGAACTAGTATTTATTTGCCTGTCAGATACACTTCATTTCAGTACCTTTCACTCAGAAAAAACAGAGCTAGCTTGTGTTAGAGGAGGTGAGAAAGAATTCATTGCTGCAAAATAATACAGTACTATCCCCCTTGATGCATTGAGATTATAACTAAGAGATCAACTGAAGCTACTTCACTTGTACAGTCCTTATGTGGACTGTTAAGCTACAGTATTAAGGGTATTGCTTAAAGATTCAATTGTTAACTTGTTAAACTATTTACATTAAGAGGACTTTAGATTCAGTATGTTAGCACACACAAGGGGCAATTTTGTATGAGTTCTTAATTAAAAAGTCCAAATAGAGCCTCCTTCCAGTTTCCAATGTCTGACATGGTATTATATATATGGTACGTGATACATGAGAATCTCTCTCCAAAAACAGTACAATCTAAAAAAAGCATGGTTCAGGTGAGGTAAGCTTGACAACAAATGTTCAGTTAATGGTCTGTAGTCTACCTTAATCCTATTATTCCTCTTTACTGATGAATACCCCTTTCAGTCTGAATACATATTATATTCTGATATTTATTACCTTCCATTTAGCCATAATAAATTCCTTTCACTTTCCTGTAGCCCATCTAGTTAATGTTTCATCTTATATTAAATCCCATAAATGCCACTTATATTTATCATTGAGCCACTTAGTTTGATATCATCAACAAATTATGAGATTTTGCACTGCCCTTCTCTATATCATCGATGAATAATACAAACAAGGGAACCTGAACAAACCTGGTGAAATTTACTGCTTCCTGCCTTTACTTCACTGGTGACGGCCCTTAAGACACTTTCTGTTTTCTATTTTCCAAACGTTTCTCATGGCTTGTTGTTTCCTTGTTAGGCAGGCTCTGGGCTGGTATGTCGCTATTTTCACTCTTTGATTGCAACAACAACAATTCATATTTATATTGCACCCTTCGCCGGGGGAGGGGGTAGTGCCTTGGAGAGGTTATTTCATGATTATTAGCAAGAATGACGTGATAGTTTGAGGCCAGAAGATAATTGTAGATACATGAATCTCTGGCTTTGGTAACAAAATAGGATTCCTGCCAGAAATGTCAGATGTGTTGCGTATAAAACATATTTATTTAATCCCACATGGCTTTTAACTATTTCAGTTTGGAACTTGCTGACACAGGACAAATTATGTACAATGGGTTTGTATGCAGCATGATTGGACCGGACTGCAGCATGGAAGTGGCCTGGATTCTACTAAGTGATGAATTTGCTTTTCTTTTGTCTCAATAAACTGATTTAGTTTAGAACCATCTTTGCTCAGCACTTCATTTGATTTTAGCAACAGAAAGGGATCAGGATATGTACTGGATTAAAGCCATGACAGAGCCTCAGTGGAACTCTGCTGCACACAGTTATTTAAAAATATGCAGGACTTGACCTACTTTAGCAAGTTCAGGAAGCAACCATCACTTCACGCCGTGAAAGTTGCTTACACACCATTCTATAATATTACTGAATAAAAAGCACAGAAGTAATTGGGACTTGACAACTTGCTGTAGCAGTTCTATTTGTCTGACCTGTAGTAGATGGTAATGAGCTCACTTGGACCGTATATATAGGATTATTTGCCCCTCTCCCATCCTACAGTTCTTGAATAAATTTGTTAGGCTGTCTTAACAGATGGTCTTCATTGCTATTATTGAGGCTACTTATGACTTTACAGAACATGCCTGGGTTTCCTTCACTACAGGGAAACTTAGGAATCAGTGATATTTGTGCCAATTCTCTTGAGAAGGTTGGCATGATCATGGGTGATTAGTTTGCTTGACTAAGGAGTAGGCTTCTTTTATATTTTCTCTTTCAGTGCTTTTCCTTTCTCATGAAAGCCGCAATACATGTACAAGTCAAACCTGGGTCCTCTCGCTTGCGAAGCGCTCTAACCAATATGCTGCAGGACTCCAAAATAATAATAATAATTTGGTCATTCAATCCACGACTGTTTGTGGAACACTGTTGTGCGCAATTGGCTGCTGAATTTCACCTACAAAACACACACTACACTACATGATGCCTCGAGGCTGTGATAAGGTACTATATCAAAGGCTGTGATAAGGTACTATATCAAATGCAAGGATTGTTATAATTATTATTATTAATATCTTGCTTTCTTTCACTGTTACCTGTGCAATTGCTGTTACCAGCATTCACATAATAATAATAATAATAATAATCCTTGTCATGTCTTCGAGACATCTCAAAGTGCTTCACAGAATATACTGTAAAGTGAATTTATTATATATTTTGTTGCAGTTAATGAAGCTCTGCTTCTTCAAGGTATGTGCGTGCAGAGCTTCACTATTCTTAAACACAACAGTAGGATATAAAAATCATTCCTATTTGCCTGTACTGCAGTAAAAATAAATAACTGATGTAAAAGACTAATTAAGTGGACTGAATTACAACTTTGCTGAATGCTCTTATAACTGCCAAACCTAATGTACTTTCATGCCTTAAGGGCTTCAAACCCTGACCAGATTTAATAGTCTATTGATGTTGGTCGTAGATCATTCAACAGCAATGTTTTCTACATATAATATGTTTTTTGGAAGAAATGCAAGGTTACAAAGAAATGCAAACCTCTCAGCATCTTAAAAGAAAATTTAATTTTAATTTAAATTAAAAGAAATTTGGCCTGCTGTTTTACATATTAGCTTCCAAAATTTATAGTCACTGCACTTTACAGTAAATCATGTGAAGTACTTTGAGGCATACTGCTGTTATGAAAGACTCTAAAGCAGTTTTGTTTTATTATTTACTTTTATGTTGTTGTACATTTAAGTGCTGAATTCAAACTATTGTATGAATTAAACTATGAGTACAGAATACCCAGCAAATTCTTTCCTACAGTTCAACCTGCTACATTAAACATTAGAATGGTATTTACATCGGGACTGCCTCATGTAAAATGAGTAATATTGATGAGCGTAATGTGTCCAATTGAGTGACAAGGTTTACATAAATATGGTATATTTATTTAATACTTGCTGCCACAGGTGCAGTCTGCATGTTCAGGAAATGTAAGCTAATGGAAGATCCCAGGAGCAGAGTGTCTCACTGGTATCATTTCAGCCTTAATATCTGGAGGTCTTGGAATATTAGTGCTGCAAGTGAGCAGTAAAATGATCATCTTAATGGAAATATGCCAGAATATTAAGCTATAAGTTTATTAACTTCACCTTTGCCAGTAATTTAAATTTCCCATTCCAAATTGGTGAATAGAGTATCTTAATAGCATTGGAAGAGTAAGCAACTCTATGTTTTACTAACACTCAACTCTTGTTTTATCTTTTTACAGTGAATTTTGACCATTTTCAAATACTACGTGCAATTGGAAAAGGGAGCTTCGGAAAGGTAAATATATTGCAAGCAAGATTGTAATTTTTTTGTATATAGGTTACAATAGCTTTAAAACAAAAGTGTGGGCACTATCTTGATCTGAATACACAAAAAATAATGTACAGTATAATGTCATGTTAAAACACACTTTTCTTTTACTGGAAAGATTAGAATGATGTGTCCCATAGGAAGTTGGTTGTGCTTATGAATTTTATATTGCTAAACGGATGCTACATTATGCAACAAACATAAGGCATCAATCCTCTAGATGTGAGATGACAAAAATAAAGTATTGTATATTCAGAAATGTTTCAGTATTAAATGGAAGCTGCCCCTTAGATACAAGAATACAGGAAGAATACATAATGCTTTTGATTATTCTATCTCGCCAAGTGAACGCTACATTATGCATTAACATGAAATATTCATCCTGTAGATGTGAGATAACAAAAATAAATGTATATTTAGAAACATTTCAGTATTTAGGGGAATTGCATCTTTGGAATGGGTACTCAAGCTCATAGAAAAGGTACACAAATGAATGGAAAATTCATTAAACGGAACATCTACTCAACTTTCTGCTTATTTTCTATATTAAAATAGTAATTGAATTGTTCATGGGACTCATTGCTGCATTCTGGGCATCCTTTTTTTCATCAACACTTCCACTGATCAATTGTTGGATTTGTAGGCATATGGTATTGATAAAAAAGCAGTTGAGTTTAATTTGCATGTCGTGACCTTTATTATTAAGTTTTTCATAAACAGGGAAGTATAATATAGTTGGTGATTGGGATTGCTTTAGCATTCCACTCATCCCTCTGTTAATTTTCCTATAGTAGACCCATTCCCAAAGTTGACTTGGCTTCCACGCAGCCTCTCATTACTTAATATAACTCTTCTGCCATAAATTGATTTGTAAATTTAGTTCTTGAACATTCCAGGACACATTGGTATGTACCAAACATCAATCGCTAAAATAGCAATATTTTCATCAAGTCTCATAATGGAGTTACATTACAAAGAGTAATGAAAAGATCATTAATTATAAAGTTCAGAGAATGCTAGATTCCATTATTGCCCATAAATAACAGTATGTGCCCTTGGAATGAAGTTTCAAGAAATCAACACAGGGCTTCCTATCCGATGACATATTCTGTATTATAGTGATAAGAAATACTTTGAGTGACTCTGATATAATAATAATAATAATAATAATCCTTGCATTTGATATAGCGCTTTTCACGTCGGGAGGACGTCCCAAAGCGCTTCACAGAACACACTGTAAAGTGAATTGACTGTATATTTGTGGGCAAACTCGGCAGCCAATTGCGCACAGCAATGTCCCACAAACAGTCGTAGATTGAAAATGACCAATTTATTATTGTTTTGGGTTTTTGGAGGGATTATTATTAGGCGTGTGGAGTAAGGAAACTTGCCCAAGGTTTCGCCCTGCCTGGAATTGAACTCAGGTCTCTCGCTTGCAAAGCGAGTGCTCTAACCACTGAGCTACAGGACTCCACAACAGCCACAACAGCCATACTTGTGAGTGACTATATAACAGTAGAGGGAGAGAGCAATACTGTGAATGATTCTGATAACAGTAATTCAGTAGCATGTTAATTTAAACTGATTGGCTCCCGTCAGCGTCTCGACACCTCAGGCGCTGACAGCATCACCATCCAAGGATGCACACTCCACCTCACTGAGTCAGGCCGGAAGCTTGGCATTTTGTTTAACCCTCAACTATCTTTTCTACCCCACATCTGTGCCATGATCTGCTCTTCCTTCCCTCACTTCCGCAACATCGCCCGGTTCCGCCACTGTCTCACGGTGCAGGCCGACGAGACGCCCAAACACGCATTCATAACATCCAGGTTTGACTATGCAAACTGCCTGCTTGTCAGCCTCCCCAACTCCTCCCTCCATAGGCTGCAGATCATCCAGAACTCAGCAGCCCGTGTCCTCTCCCACACCAGGCTCCATTACCCCATCACACTATCCTCGCCCAACTGCACTGGCTTCCCATCACACAGAGGATACAGTTAAAGATCTTGGTCCTTACCTTTAAAATCCTCCGTAGCCTTGCTCTCCCTACCTCTGCGAGCTCCTATCACCTTACCAACCTGGTCTCTCCCTCCGCTCAGCGGGCTCCACTCTGCTTCATGTCCCCTGCCTCGCCCGCCCCACCATTGGCAGGTGGGCCTTCAGCCACCCACTCTCTGGAACTCCATCCTGCAGTCCCTCCACCTCGCCCCCTCACTTGCCTCATTCAAGACCCATCTCAAGACCCTCGTTCGACCGTGCCTTCGATCACCCTCCTTCCCCACCTGCCCTCAACCCTCCCTGATCCCAACCCTCAGCTCAGGTCCAAAACACTGATTGTCCAGCACCTTGGGATGTCCTCCCGATGTGAAAGGTGCTATACAAATGTAATTTTGTTATTGTGTTGTAAACTCTTATCAAGCTTGTTTCAAACACTGATGCTTGTTTATCAGTACCAACAACTAGAGTAACACTTATTTGAATATCACTCATTTTGTGCGGAGTATTGTGACCTTTTATACTTCCTGCAACATTGTTAGTTGTTAACCATTCACAAGCTATTAGATATTGAAACTCAAAAGTTAATGATTTTCAGAAGGTTACTTAATGTTTAACTAAATTTGGCGCAATGAAAGCAAGAAAAGAACATTTGACAAGAAGCAAGTAATTTGTCATGAAATGTTTAATTGGTTTTAAGATAACAGAGTTCAGAAATGCAATATTCTTTGCATTTGTCCAACTAATGAATTGCTTGAACAATGATGTTATCTAACAGAGAGAAAATACTTTGAGGGAAAACAACATATTTATTGGAATGCAATGTGCAGTCTCTCCCTGGAGGCATGCATTCTGGAAAGTATCAGGTGCAGGTCGGCCAAATGAAGGCTTGGGGACTTCAGAGCGTGCATTGGAGTACAGCTGGAGTCTAACCAGTGAAAACCTCATAGCTTGCCATTGAGAGCACTCTCTGGCAAATTTGTCTGCCCCATTGACAGGTCTGCCCAAACCCTGCTGGTGCGACACTTACTGTATCTTACGTGTTTCCAAGGCATGTTTTGGATAATTTTGTCCAAGAACACACAAGTTCAGTATCTGTGCTCCCAATCAACTACAGATTATGCTTGTGCTGTGCTGTCTACAAGCATCAGCAGTGAGGCTCATTGTTGACTGTTCTTCTAGAAAAGTATCACTGACAAGAATGTCTGAATTCAGCTTTCCCATGAAATCTAGCTTTAGCTAGGTTCAGAAAAAAAAATTCTATTATGATCGCGATCACTTACAGTTGGCCAGGAAATCAATGCTCTATTTTCACGCATAAGGCCGTAAAAAAAAACATTTGGGTTCTCCATACTTTCTATAATCTCTTCCAGGTCTAGTAGCAAGTCTTTTTAGCATCAGAGCCACAGACCTGCTCTGTTGACATTCAAAGACTTGAACCACAGGCTAACAAAACCACTCAGAGCTTGAGCCTACTCATATGTTAAGAAATTGCTGGGTTTACAGGTCTTAAGATTTGGTTTCCTTTCTAAGAGAGTGTTGGAGGTGGAAAAGTGATAAGCGCTTTGACACACTAGCAAAAGGCACAGTTAACAGCTTAGCCCAATAATAATAATAATAATCCTTGCATTTGATATAGCGCTTTTCACGTCGGGAGGACGTCCCAAAGCGCTTCACAGAACACACTGTAAAGTGAATTGACTGTATATTTGTGGGCGAACGCGGCAGCCAATTGCGCACAGCAATGTCCCACAAACAGTCGTAGATTGAAAATGGCCAATTTAATTATTGTTTTTGTTTTTTGGAGGGATTATTATTAGGCGTGTGGAGTAAGGAAACTTGCCCAAGGTTTCGCCCTGCCTGGAATTGAACTCGGATCTCTCACTTGCAAAGCGAGTGCTCTAACCACTGAGCTACAGGACTCCACATGTTTATGCCTGCAGCTCAGTACCATTTCAGATCGTAAAGCCAATAAACATTGACATGGTGCTCGAAGAGGGATTGGCTATTAGCCGCAAAGCCTTTCAGTGATTTTTTTCATCATTGTCGATCAGTTCCTATGTAGTTTTTTGTGATGTTTTTGTCAGATGGATGTTATTTTTCATTATTTCATTGTGAGATCTGAGGCAAACTATAATTGAAGATATGACCAACGAATGTAGATCGTGGAGAGGAAGAAAACATCCGTTCGGTAACTAGAGTTTTCACTTTAATTTTGGTTCTGAAATGGACAGCAGTAACTTTCAAAATAATCCTTCCATTTCATATATAGTGTCTCGTTGAAACACCTCAAAGTGCTTCACAGGATTATAATAAATAATAATAATCCTTAGATTTGATATTGTACCTTTTCAGCGCCTTGGGGCGTCTTCCAGACGTGAAAGGCGCTCTATAAGTGGAATCTTGTTGTTGTTATAGTTGTTTCATGTAAGGAGGATGTCCTGAGGTGCTTCACATGATATACTGTAAATTGTAGTGACTAGATTTATAAGCTTGTGGTGATGATTAAGTGCCTTTGTTTTTCTAGAGAGAAATATTGAGTATAAACCCGGACAATAAATTGGTTAATTCCAGCTGGATGGAAATCTTAAATTCTATTGCCCATTTGAGGCAGATGAAGACAGTGGTGGTGATAAGGGTGAGAAAATAAAATGTGATGTGGATTAAAGGTTCACGTATAGCATGGCAATAAATGCTGTGATTAAATGAAGACTGAAAGGAGATCTAAGAAAGACTAGAAAGAAAAATGTACTGAAGTTTTTTTTATTACTTACAATGAACGAGGTGACATGAAGTAGAATTCAATTAATTTCAATTTGAGAAATGTTTTATAATTTTTTCTCCTTTGCAGTTAACTATCTTTGCTTTTGTTATGATTAATTATCACACCACATTCCAATCATGTAATGTACTATATTCCAAATGATATTTCGAACTCAGAAATAGAACTAACATCATTGATTGCCCATTCT